GGATGGGGCTGGGGATTTAGCTCAGTGGCAAAGCGCCTAGCTGCAAGCACAAGGAACTGCGTTCTGTTCCTGGTACCGAAAAAAAAAAAAAAAAAAAAAAAAAAAAAAAAAATGCTAGGGATGGGAAAAGTAGGGTTCCCACCACAAAAATGATAGCTATATGAGGCCATACATATATTACTTATCTGCATTTAATCATTTTACATAATATATGCAATGCAAACATTATGCTCTACACAATAATACGTACAATTTTTCTATAAATTTTTTAAATGTCCATTTCTGTCCAATATGAGCTTCTGTCTCTTAATATTTACAAACCATTCAATTATATTGCTAATTTATATGGAATAAAAATTAGATTCCTATCTTACCAAACACAATAACAAGTTCTAGGTGCAGTGAAAATATAAATATTAACACAAACATTAAAAACATTCAAGAGAAAACACATTATAATGGTGACTTTAGCATAGAGGAAAAATGATACATATGATACACTACAAATAAAACTTCTGGTATGGCCAAAGACACAATAAACTAGGGAACTGATAGGTACAGGATGAAGGCAAGATATCTACAATTTATGTAAGTAAGACACACTATCCAGAATGCTCAAGGAATTGTTAATGATCAAAAAAGTAGAGACCAAACCAATAAAAAATGATCAGAGTATTTGAGTAGAAAAGTCACAGAATAGGAAATCTGAATGTTTAATAGATACATAGAGAATTGCTCAAATTAGAGGGAAAAAAATCTAACAGTAAAATATCATTGCATTTCCAAGCTGCAAAAGAAAATAACAATACAATAGTATCTCTTCCATACTCATTACACAAAAGTAAATAAGCTTAGCTATACACATGAATAAGAGTCTAAAAAAAGATATTAAGTTTTAAAAAGCAACTTCTATATACCAAGATACCATCTATATAAATGTTTAAAACATTTCCAATAATAAGATATATTGCTTATGGCTACATAAATATGAAGCAGAAGTTTGAAAACAAACATAAAAATGATACACACCACCTTTAAGAAAAATATAATTTCTGGGAAGGAAGGATAAAAAGAGATAAGAGAACAGTAATATCTTATTTTTTTCTTTTTCTTTTTGTTAAGATCTGAAGCAAATGCTGTAGGCCCTCCACATTCATGAGTTTCATATCTTTGGATTTGACCAACCATGGATTTAAAAAGTTGTTTAACTGTATCTATACTGAACATGTACAGGATTTTTTTCTTATAATTATCCCCCAAATGATGTAGTATAACAACCACTTACAGTTTTTGCATTGCATTGGGTATTATAAGTGATTTAGAGATGATTTAAATTACATGGAAGCGGGCTGGGGATTTAGCTCAGCGGCAAAGCGCCTGCCTGGCAAGCGCAAGGTCGTGAGTTTGGTTCCCGGTACCAGAGAAAAAACAAAAAAAAAAAAAAAAAATTACATGGAAAGATGCTTATATTAGAATGCTACACTATAGTATATAAGGGAAAATAACCCCTGGAATTTGGTGTTCCTATGGGATCCTGGAGCCAATCACTCATGGATACTGAGGGCTGACTTTATCACAAAATTCTGACATATTTTACCTCACAGATAAGTACATAGGTGCTGCTGACTTTATTTTCTTCACTTTTCTGTATGTATAAACTATTTTCAAGTTGAATAAAAAGTATAACATAAAGGACTTAGATCTAGTCTCTATCCCCACAAAGTATGTGGCCAGACCTACTGGGCATGAAATTATATTGCACGATATTAATGAATAATCAGTCTTTTATTTTTTAGTGCAATTGGAATTTATTCTTTCTAAAACATGTAATGTGAGGCATTTTTTTAATTTGGGGAGAAAAGAAATGCAAATAGGTATTACATGTTTTAATTTATTCACTTTTCTAAAACTTGCTAAATACACCTCCGTCAAATTTCATACAGGAATTCTTTAAAGATCACATGAAAGAGAGTCCAGAGAAGGTGACATATAGAGAAAATAGCCTAAAGTTGATACTATTAAATGAGAGCTCTGCTAATTACATCAACTGTTTCAAGGGTGGGAAGCAGGATGAGTGTGAGCCTGGGAGTATTATTTCATCAGTAAATGTGGGCAAAGCTTTGGAATGAATATTTTTAATATACATAAATGTAAAACAAAACTCCTTTAGCAAGATTTTTGTAGGAACACAAATTTGTATTTATAACCTGAGTATTTCAATTCTTCCACTCCACAAAAGTTTTTGAAAAAAAGGAAAAGCAGGAAGGAAGGAAGGAAGAAAGGGAGAAAGAAAGAAAAAGAAAGAAAGAAAGAAATATTAGAACTCAGATACTAATGGAATTTTTATGACTTAGAATAGTAGAGTACCATATCAGATCCCAAACATACCTAAAGTAAACTATAAGGTTTGAAACTAATAATAAATTAATAATAGACATTGTTTCTCTCTTGGTGGATTTTTAAGTTACTAAGTCTATTATTTCGGTGCATTTTGCAAAACATAATAAAGTTTGAGTCCTACTTGAGTTGGTATTGACTAAGATCTGAAGTTCAGTTTGTCCGTCTGGATTAAGTCTGTCCACATTTGTATCCACAGATGTTGGGCCAGAAGCTGGATAATCCCTTGTTCCTATGAGAAGGGAAAAAGAGCAGAATTCGAAAAGCTGTATTTTCACGAACAGAGCATCATTCACGGTTGGCAGCAGAGTGGTCTTTGTACGACCAGGGTGTGCGACAGACAGCTCACCTTTCGACACAGAGAAGCGGACACTTGTACATGTTGGGTCTACTAGATTAACAGACTGTATTGCTATATTAGGTTCCACTATGGAGTCATTGCCCAAAGTCAAGGCATAAGTCTCCACTTGTTCAATAAGCCTGCACAGAATGAAACATAATTTAGTATTTTAAAGAACTTGTCAATCCAACATTTCCCATGTTGTAGTAGAAACCCATGAGAACAGAGCTCAGATACGAATGGATAACATATGTACACACACGCGCGCGCACACACACACACACATACACTTTCTTAAAAAGTCCTGGTGGACTGTCTCCATTGAAGGTACCTTGGACAAAGATGCCAGATTCTCCAAGGTAGCATTCAGAAGACAGATTTCCAGTAGAAATTGTATTCGGTTACAGTGTTTTCCATATAGAAGGAGACTGGCCCCACCAAGTGTTGACTGGGTATGCACTTCCTTTTTTTATTATTTTAAATTTTTTTTTTTTTTTCCGGTACTGGGAATCGAACTCATGACCTTGCGCTTGCCAGGCAGGCGCTGTGCCGCTGAGCTAAATCCCCAGCCCCTAAGATAATCTTTTTAATGAAAATAGAAATAAAAGTTTTATGGAAATGTAAATATTCTGTATTTCAAATCTCTCTTTCTACCAATAAACTCTTTTCTCCTTTAAGAAAGATTAATAAAAATGTAAGTTTAAAATAATTAAGAACTGCTTTTGTATTAACCAGCTTTTTGTTGCTGGTACAAAACGTGACATATATAATGTGATGGAAGAGGGTTTATTGTGTCTCACAAGTTTCAGAGGGTTCAGTCCATGGCGGGCAGGCTCCAAGGCAGAAATATCATGGCGGAAGGGTGTACTGGAGCAAAGCTGCTAACCTTGTGGCAGGAAAAGCAGAGAGACAAACCACAGAGGAAGGGGCCAAGGAAGATATACTTCCTAAGGTCACACCCTCATGGCCCACCCAAACATGCCCAGACACGTGCTTTCCTAGTCTTGTAGCATCTCTCAAGCCAATTGAGTTTACCATTATGATTAAACACCACAGTTTATAGAAAGAAAAAAATTATCATTCTTATAGAAACATTTCTAGGCTTCTCCCTTTCATATGTTTTTAATACTCTTTTTAATACCATTTTATGGGTTTCCAGAGCTGCCTTCAAAAGGAAGGATACCTAAGAAAACTCCAATCTGCTAAAAACATTATTTGTGGAAAAATATCTGTGAAGTTATCACGTAAGAACCCTATTAAACACTGGAGATCCCATAGGAACAATCTCAGACACTTGTAGACCAAGAGGAAAGATATGCTAAACTGAGGAGTATGTTTACCATGTTCACAAACACTTTTACAGGTCTGCTCTTTTCACAGCTACTACTAAGGCCTTTTTTTTCCTCCCAAATGATTGTTTTCCTCTTCGTGTCATACCGGGTTAGGTTAAGTGTAGCCTGAGTCGCTGATCTAATCTGGAGGCTGAGCATTGGATTAAATCCCCAGTACTAAGAAAAAAAGAAAATCAAAGAAACAAAAAGATATCCAACCATCAAGCTTACATAAATGACTAAAAGAAGCCATCAGATTATTTTGTTTGGGAGTTTTCCAGTGAGTGCACCAGTTATATCAGAAAAGAGATGGTTCAGAAGGAATCAGACAGATCCCTATATCTTTGTAAAGACAAATATAAATGAAAACTAAGAGGATAAAGATTCCTTCCGAAAATGAAAGAAGACCCACAAACTTCTTTACTGAGAATTCTAAAGATGCCTTGGAGCCCAACCATGTCCCTGCTCTGGGATAGGGTCCTGCTCTGCTAAGGTCCTGTTTGTGTTCCCCTGAAATCTCATGTGCCTCTTTATCATAAATCTCCGTTTGGTCAAGATAGTTTGAGTGGGTAACCAAAGAAGACTAGCTGGAACAAGAATACAAATGTAAAGGAAAATGCAGTCGTACAAAGTGGTTAGCATTTGGGAGACAGTTTTCATTCCCCAAATTAGACACACAAGGGCCATTATGACCTTTCAATATGACAGAAAAGGTCTGAGATTATAAATCAATCTTTGCAAGCAGTGTACAAAATGTAGAAAGGAGTCCTAAACTCATTGATTGTTCTATGATGCCCCAACCAACAGAAATAAGTCCTAACCAGAGCTCCAGAGCTCTGCCCCACTTTCATGGTTCCTTCCTACTTACAAAAAGAGAATAGTTGATAGATTGCTGTGAATCTTGAAGGGCTGACACTGGGCTGGAGTCTTTCTGCTCTGTCACTCTCTTCCCTTCCACTCTTTCTTATTCTCGCTTATCTTAGTAAATAAGTAGACTACAAGGGCAATCCTGTGGCTGCGGGACATGAGGAAACTGATTGAAAGAGAGGAGAAGTTAAATTAAGAGGGATGACAGAGGCCTGGTACCTGTCAGGAGACCGTCCGCCCAGACTGTCAGGAGACCGTTTGCCCAAATTTACCACTGTTCAGCCCTTTACAGATAAAATGGTGTGGTATTTTCACATGATCTATGGACATCGTCCCACTTTAAATTATCTCTAAATTGCTTATAGAACTTAACAAAATGTAAGCGCTATGTAAATAGTTGTTATGTTATGAATGTTTTAGGAAACGACAAGAATAAAATCTGTAAATGTTCAGTTCAGATGAAATGTTTTCTACACTGCAAATCACCCAGAGCCAGGAGCGGTGGTGCATATCTGTAATCTCAGCACTTGCATGACAATCACTGTGAGTTCGAGGCCAGCCTGGGCTACACAGTGAGTTCAAGGCCAGCCTGAACTACAAAGTGAGACCCTGTTTCAAAAAAATGACCCAGATACCTACTGAAATCTGAAGTCACAAAGTACATTGGTGAAACTCTATACAAAGTCTACCACCCTCTGTCAGAATTATAATATTCTAAATGTTCTATGTCATGCTTTTTCTACTCTGAGGGCTGAACACTAAAGAGGTGTGGGCTGAAATCATGACAGAACTGAAAACTATGAGGAGGAATTTCTCCTGAGGAAATAGCAGACAAGCACACAACGCTTACTGACAAGGATGTTGATTGCTAATAACATTAAAGGGCTTGAAAGCATCTATACAATCTTGAAACAATCTTCACTGTTACAGAGTTTACGCATATCACACCGTAATCTAAAATGAAGAGTTAGATGTAGAGGTATTTATACTTTTTACAAAAGTTTATGTGCAAAGGGTAATTATAAATCAGTATGGTGTAAAATTATACATATGTATATATAGAGAGGGGGCAAAAATATCTGGAATGTATCTAATGTATATATAGTACAGGTATTTATATATACACACACTACAGGTTACGATATATATAATATATGCACGTATATATACTATATACATACACACACACTACAGGTTAATAAAGGTGGGGTAATTGTTAAAAATTTGTTCACCAATGTATTTTCTTATTTTGCTACAATGAATACATAATGTACAAAGGATTTTAAAACACAGTAAATCCAAATGAGCCTGCCCCCTCCATGGATAACCTAAACGAGTTTTAAAACAAATATATAACCAAGTAATCTGGACTATAGGAGTCAAGAAGAGAGAAAGCAGGGTGGGATTAATGTTCTTTTTCAGTGTATCCTTGGAAAATGAAAAGAAGGCTTAATGAAAATGCATCAGACTTGGGAAGAGAGAGCTGCGGTGTGGATGGGGGCTGGCAGTGTACCCCCAAAGGCGGCTGCTCCCTGCAGTGCGTGTACTGAGAAAGAGCTGAAGAGCTCCCGCTGTGCGTGGTTGCCCCTTAGCCATGCCAGGCTGAGGCTAGGGAATGTGAGTTACATACTAAGTCATCTCAGTTATTCTTTGCTTCTCAGCCAAGGCCACCCCTGGAACCAGAAGGTAACAGACGGAGCATAGTAACATAACACATAACACTATGTTACATAACATAGCAACATAACATAGCAACAGAGCACTCCCTATAGTACTGAGATCAAGTGGAAAGCCAAGTTCTGTCAGCAGGACAGAGGAATCACACTTACTCCTGTTCATGCCTTAACCTAAAAGAGTGAAAAGGGCTTTGTCAAACTGAAATCGTGCTTACGTTGCAAAAGCATCATGGTTATCAGTAGCGGCAGCTGTTTGGAAAACATCTTCACTGGCCCACAGAAGTTGACTCACTGTTGTTACAGCAACTTTTTTAGCCTGCCGAGGAGAAGTCACTGATGATCACAGAAAACACACACCATACATTATCATCACCACAGCCTGAATTACCATGGTAGCAAGATGCTTTACTGGTGTGGTAATCCAGAGGTCAAGATTTTTCAGAATTAAAGTCTTAGATTTTGATTTATCAAAGAAGGCAAAGAGAATCAAGACAAGGAAAATTGAAAATAAAAATTAAGGTAACAAATTAGGAGGCTTAGGACTCTAATTTGACCTTGTTACAAGGTATTTCACACAACTCCATCCCATCCCTAAGAACACAAAAGCAAATGCTTAGATGCAAAAGCAGAAACAAAATAAGAACAATGCAGGGCTCCGATAGTTAAATAATAGACCCCATAACACTCAGCACAACTCATTTCTTATAGAACTATTTGAGTTAGTAAAATTATTTGTGGTTCTCTTCACAAACTTAGAATTGAGTCATAGAAATGATCTCCTGGTATCTGATTGTTATTTAATTGTCTGTCTTTACTGGTTAACCTTGCTGTAAATTCTACACTGGGTGATCAATATTCTTTTCTTTAAATTCCACTTTTGTTAACTCGTGCCTTCAATTCCATCTACTTTTCAGAGGACCTATGATCACACAGAACTTCTTCGTAATAAGATATTTAAAGGGAATAGAAGAAAGAATAGGCTGATATTCAAATGGGCAGACATTGGGTTAATCCATTTTGGTAGGGTACAGCCCTGTTTGGCCTATGACATAATGTAAAGTAGGTTTAATCTTTTCAGAGAGTTAAGACAAAAATGCAAATATGTTTAACACAATAGAATCACAGTTTAAGTAGCATGTTCAAAGGTGAGTTATTTGGAATCTTTTAATCTTTTAATGGTAAGCCATTAAAAATTATATCATGCTAAGGGAATAGAATTTTAGAATTTGGCTGGTTTTCTTTTTTTTTCTTTCTCATGAGTGTTTTAGAGTCTTGAGTTTTACCTCAGGGTCAGCATTTCTGGATTCATTGAAGATCTGTCCAACCACCTTAGTAGCAGAAGTGATATTCTCAGGAGTTAACTTATTGGCATCAGATGTTAAAATCTGGGCTTCAGTAGAAATATTCCTAGAGTTTGTTGAAATATCATCTATCTGTTTTAAAAGTTAAAAAAAAACCCTAATATTATAAAACTATGTTTAACTAATTTGCCAGAAAATCAGATGTATAAGCTTAAATTTATCTGAGCCTTAACCTCTTGAAAATCACATCCACCAAGTTTTTCGTGTTTCATTTCCCCCTTGTGTAAAGGATGCAGTACGTACAGGCCAGCGATTTTCTCCGCCTTTACTACCTTCCAGGATTAACTGACTCCAATGGGCTGCCAGTGCTTGTTTACTGACTGTTACAAAGTCCACAGGGAGATAAACACAGAAAGTGACAGCAAGTGGTCAGCAACTTCTATAGCAATTTTATGCTGCCGATAATGAAATCAATAATAAATAATTATGAAATTGCATTTGCATTTTCTGTATCTTTTATTTCATTATGTTTGACAAAAGTTATTGGTTGGCAATGGGTTGCAACCTTTTTAAACTTAGTTTCCCATCGCAGAAAGTTTGGAGACAATCTCTCCAGATACCAGTTGGTCCTGGGGCATCGCGTGGTGAGTCTAAAACACGTTGGTCCGAAGTGAGCGCTGGCGGGGATTCGTGTGGGGTGAAGTTTTTCACTAGATGGCAGCATCGTTTTAAAATTCAAATCAACGTCACACTGAGCAGCGTCAGAACAATTAGTAGACAGAAGCAAGTGTCGCGTTCAATAGCTAGGTCCATGATATACGCTAGCCGCTTTGCTAGATGATTTACAGGTATATCATGCAGAAGAGAAAACAACACTGAGAGTTTAGCACATTTTCCTCCACTTAGAGGAAAATGTGAAGGCGCTCATCCAAAGAGGCTTGCGAACGGCGGAAGGAGGAGGTAAACACCGGCAGAAGCCACTCTTTCCTCCGGTCTGTGACACGACCGGTAACCACCTGCACGTCTCTGTCCCCCCTCCGCCCCTCACCCTTCTGCTGTCAGTGTAGTGCTGTGTGGATTTCACAACATAGACGATCTCCATCGCCTTTGCGGCTGTTCCCGCGGGACAAAACATTTCACCTCTCAGCCATATTTTCCTCATCTACAAAATAGGTTCATCAGTACTTATCTACAACGTTGTGATAATTATGATTTTTAAAAATTATTCAGCTCAGTACAAACAGCCCACATTTTAGATGGTTCAATTTAAGATTTCTGACACTATAAATGGTGTGGAAACAACACGTGTTTTGCAGGAACTACTTTCAATTTTGAACCTTTTCTCGGCTATTATTATGCCGTGCCCTACTGTCTTGTGACGCTGGGCAGCGACAGCAAATCACAGCTCGGAGTCAGCCACACAGTGGAGAGAATAAAATATTGGCAACTATAGTATCCTGTGTTGGGAAAACGTGATGTTGGATTAAATGCATTTTCAATTTAAAATATTTTCATTTTAGTTCCTCATAATGTGACCCCATCATACTATCAGAAGCATGTGTATTTAAACTGTAGTAAAATCTCATCAATTAGCAAGTGTTATTACCTGTAATTATCTGTAACGTGGGAAGAATAACCAACTCACAAAAAGTTTGAGTAGAGGTAAATGAAGCTGGGTGTGGTGGTGCACGCCTGCAATCCCAGCACTCAGGAGGCTGAGGCAGGAAGATTGCCCTGAGTTTGAATCTAGCCTTGGCTAAATTGTGAGTTCAAAGTCAACTCAGACTTAGTGAGACTTGTCTCAAAAAGAAAAAAACCTTAATAAAAAATTAAATGAGATATGTGTAACGTGCCTGAAACAAAACCTACATAAAGGTGCGTTTCCCCTTCCTTCCTTCACTTGGCCTTTGTGTTATGCTTACATATATGTGCACTTGCCTTCATCCTTACTCAAAATAATGTCATGAGAATATCTATTCAGATATATTTCACCTGCTCATGGATACAGCCCTGAGTCTAGCATAGGTTAGGAGTTTCCTGTCTTAAAAGGTTTTTGGTCACAATTATTTTCCTATTTATTCTGATCCAGTGGACCATCAAATACCTTTCTTCAAACATCAGTGATCTATTTCAGTCAAAACTTCCCTAGTCTACAAGATAAAGCCATTTAAAATATGCTATAGATTATCACTTGCTGCATCAACATATCTAATTGTCCCCTTTTCACAAACAGATGTTAACTTTAAACAAATAACAATAGTTTTACTTACTAGTTTTGTTATTTTTAATTTGATGCTTTTAAAACCATTGATTTGACCATCAGGTATCTCAGGAATTTGTCCGGTGTCTGAAGATTTTGTTGAGAGTCATAATTTTTTCCAGGGACCCATCAGCTGGGTCCCATGACATACCTGCGTTTCCAGGGTTCCCAGATTTTCATCGCAACTTCCTATGATCACATTTTGGAGTTCTATCTCTCCGTAGAGAGAGAGACTGCACAGCCTGATTGCTATTGGATTGCCAGCTTTAAGAAAAAGAAAAGGAAAGGGTCTGCAAAGATGGTCACAAGTACGGAACCTGTCCGCACCCTTTATCTGAGCGTGGCTCTGCTGCTCCTTCCACCGGGAGGTGGGGTCTGCTCTGCCTCTTTCCTCCAGCAGAACGTAGGGCAAGTGTGTCACTCCCACAGTGGCCCCGAGAAGCCTGACGCACGCTGTCCTGAGACTGCTACGTAAGGAACCCGGCATCATCTGCTTCGACAGAGGCCGGGTGGAGAAGAACTGGGGTGCTCTAGCCAAGAGCCAGCGCTCACAGCCCCAGGCACGTGAGCGGGGTTATTCTGGACTTTCTGCCGGAATGTAGCTGCCACAGCCAATCCACAGAACCATGAAGAATCTAAATCATGGCTGTTTGAAGCCAGTAGGTTTGGTACGGTTTAAAACACAGCACTGGAAAGGTGAATCCATCATTACACTACGTAGGACAGACACTGCTTGTCTCGATGCTTAAATCTGGAGTCCAAATAACTAGTCGGCTATTCCCTGAAAGGGTGTCTTTGAGGAAGATTTACTTTTCAAAAATTAGGGACAAACATGGCTTTGAGCTTTTGTAAATAAGCAGAGGAGGGGTTGAAAGGAGGAGGGGGATGGGGAAAAAAGAAGAATCAAGATATACTACGTACAAGTACAAATTCGCTGTGATGACTGTGATCATTATGTATATCTAAAGTGTACCAGTAAAATTAATTTTTTTAAAATTCTCTAAATAAAAGAATCACTTCAACTTGGATATAGTGGGAAGATCCTAATCTAAGAGACTAGAAACAGTATGAAAAACTCCTAGGAGATATCGGAATATATATTGATCTTTTCTTCTTTATCTGGGTAACTCCTGAAAGGCAAAGAGTTCTCCTGCTTTGCAGACTTAATAGATATTTCCTTGATTCTTAACAAATGCTTCTTTAATTTATTTGTATCCTAAAATTATTACCTGAACTTCCCTACCTCACTGTACTTCTGTAGCTAATACTTAAGTAGCTGCTATAAATAAAATCATAATTACAGGGCAAAGTGATTAGAAGGTAAATTTTTTCTGAAGACCTGCATTGAGCAGCTGCTTCTTGGGGCAACAACTAGACTAGCTGACATTGCAGATTGCTTCAACAACACTTAAGGTAGAAGGTTGGTGCCACTCATAATTTATTTGATAGCTGTATCTCTACTCTATGACATAATGAACATACACATACATATGACACAAATTGTAAGTGGCCATATATCAAACGCATTTTTCCTGAAAGTTATAAATATTATAACTGTCAGTTATAATTACTGACAGTTATAAATATTCATACTCAAAAATGAGCAAAAAGAATATATAACAAGGTTAAACATACATTCCCCAAATATACACTACCAAATTTCATAAAACAAACACTAATAGACATAAAGGAACACATAGGTCCCAAAACAATAATAGTGGGTAACTTTAATACTCCACTCTTAGCAATAGATAGCCAAACAAAATGACAAAGTTCAACTATATCAGATATCAAAGGGACTTAACAGAGGTCTACAGCATGTTCCAGCCAGCAACTGCAGAATGTATATTCTTCTCAGGGATAATGGAATGCTGTACAAATTAGATCATACCTTAGGCCCTAAAGCAAGGCTTCATGAATACAAAGACTGTAAGTAACTTCTTGCATATTATTAGGCCATAATATAGTAATAAAATTAGAAATCAGTAACTATAAAAACTACATAAACACGTGATGGTTGAACACTTCATTTTTAAGTGATCACTGGATTACTTAAGATAGCAGGAGGCAAACAAAGAAATTCCTGGAATTAAATGAAAATGAAAATCCAACATACCAGAATCTCTAGAATACAGAAAGGGCAATCCTAAGAGAGGACTGTTTAGCTGAGTGCCTACATTAAAAAACTCAGCAAGATCCCACATAACCTAATAATGCATTTCTAGGGTTTACAGGAAAAAACTAAAACCATATCCAAAAAAAAGAGGTATTAAATATCAGAGATGAAATTAATGAGATAAATATTAAAAGAATAATACACAGGATCAATGCAACAGAGTTGGTTTGTTGAAAAGATAAATAACATGGACAATCTCTTGGCCAAATTAAGCAAAGAGAATGAAAACCAAAATCAATCAAGTTAGAGATAAAAAGTGACATGTTACAACAGACACCACTGGGGCTGGGGATTTAGCTCAGCGGCAAAAGCGCCTGCCTGGCAAGCGCAAGGTCGTGAGTTCGGTTCCCGGTACCAGAGAAAAAAAAAAAAAAAACAGACACCACTGAAATCCAAAAGATGATTAGGTACTATTTAAAAAGACCTGTATTCTGGTAAATTGGAGACTCTAGGAGAAGTAGATACATTACTAGATACATGACCTACCACAAGTAATCCAAGAGAACATAAAAACTTAAACAGATCAACAGCAACCAATGAAACTGAGCAGTTATAAAAAGTTCCTCAACAAAGAAAAGCCAAGGATCAGATGAACTCACTGTTAACTTCCACCAGTACTTTAGAGATGAGCTAATACTAATGTTCCTCAAACAATTTCATGGAATAAAATGGGAAGAAATAACATAGATGCAAAAATTCTTCATCAAATCAAATTCAGCAACACATAAAAAGGTCTTTGACCATGATCAAATTGGTTTCATTTCATGGATGCAGTGATGTTTCAATTGAAACAAATACATAAATGTAGCACACAAGATAAATAGAATCAAGGATAAAAGTCACATAATCACCTCAACTGATGCAGAAAATGACTTCAACAAAAGTCAACATCCCTACTCATAAAATACATGAAGAAATTCGGTATCGAAAGATCATACCTCAGTATATTAAAGAGTATATACCAAAGCTCCACAGCAAACATCACTTTGAATGGTAGAAAATGAAATGTATTTCCTCTGAAATTAGGAAGGATGGAAGAATGTCCAGGCTCATCACACCTATGCAATATTGTACTTGAAATTTTAGCTATAACAATTAGGCAAGAGGAAACAATAAAAGGGACACAAATAAGAAAGGAAGTAGTAAAATTATCCTTATTTGCAGATTATATGATCCTGTACTTAGAAGACCCTAAAAACTCCACAAGAAGAGTTTTAGGATGGATAAGTTAAGCAAAGTGGCAGACTATAACATCAAAATTTAAAAACTAATTTCTATGCACCAATAACGAACAAGCTAAGAAAGAAGTCAGGAAAACAATTGCATTCATAATAGTTTTAAAGAATACCTGGGATGAACCTCAGTAACAAAGTGAAAGACCTCTACAATGAACACTTCAGAACACTGAAGAAAAACCTTGGAAAACTAGCATAGATGGAAAGACCTCCCACTTTCATAGATTGCAGAGTTGATATTGTTAAAGTGGCCATATTATCAAAAATGATCTATAGGTTCAATGCAATCTCCATCAAAATATCAATGACATTTTTCACATAATTAGAAAAAAAATCTTTGAATTCATATGGAAATACAAAAGACCCAGAACAGTCAAGCGATTCTAAGCAAAAAAAGCAAGACTAGAGGCATCAAAATGCATGATTTCAAATTGTGCTATAAAGCTATAGTAACAAAACAGCATGGTACTGTCACAAAATAGACATCTAAGCAAATGGGAAAGAGAGAGAGAGAGGAGAGAGAGAGGGAGAGAGAGAGAGAGAGGGAGAGAGAGAGAGAGAGAAGAAAACCAAAACCCACACAACCACAACCATCTGAAACTGGACCAAGTAAAAATGTATATACCAGAGAAGACTGTCCCTTTAACAAAAATTGCTGAGAAAATTAGATATCTACATGTAAAAGACTGAAACTAGAACCCTACTTCTGACCCTATACAACAATATATTCAAGATGGATCAAAGACCTAAGTATAAGATTGAAACTCTGAAACTGCTGGAAGAAAACATAGGGGAAACACTTAAAGCCATATGTACAAAGCATCTCTGAATATGGCTCCAATAGCACAAAAATAATAGCAAGGGTCAACAAAGGGTACTACAAAGAATTGAAGAGTTCTGCAGAGTGGATAAATACAATGTGGCATTGATACATAACGAAGTACTGCTCTGACATAATAAATGATAAACTTGAGTCACTCATAGGTGAATGGATGCACTTTGAGACCATAATGTATAGGGAAATAAACCAGACACACAAGTATAAATACTGCTCATATAAGAGAAACCAAAATATAAACAAAGAGCAAAATAAAAGACAGACAATAGGGAAAGGCAGTCAAAGATGGAGGGAGTGGGGAAGGAGGAAAGGGAAAGGGGATGGGAAAATAATTGAAGGAAAAAATGAAAACAGAGCTTTGGCAAATGGGAATGGACCAAGAGTTGAAAGGAGTGGGGAGGGCTATGAGGAGTAGGGGACAGAAAAGGAATTAAGATGTATTATGTGCATGTACAACTCCCCACGATAAATGCAATCATTGTGTTACGCAAACATATATTAATAAAAAAAAATTCTGCACAGTAAGGGAAAAAATGAAGATGCTGAATAGACATCCTACATAATAGGAAAAAATCTTTTATGGCTACTCATCCAACAGGAAATTAATACCTAGAACATATGAAAAACTTGAAGAGCTTAACTCCCCCAAATCAAATAGCCCAATAAACAAGTGAGCAGATGAACTGAACAGATACTAAAGGAGTACAAATGGCCAACAGGTACATGAAAAAATATTCAACATCTTTAGTCATTAGAGAAATACAAATCGAAACTACACTGAGATTCTGTATCACCCCAGTCAGAATGGTTATCATTAAGAATACAGAAAGCAATAAATGCCAGCCAGGCTGTGCGGAAAAAGGAATTCTTCTACAGTGCTTGTGGGAATGTAAAAGAGTAGAGTTACTAGGAAAATCAGTATGAAGTTTCCTCAAGAAACTAAAAATCGAGCTAATGCTTGACCCAGACATACCCCAGAGAATTAAAATTACCATTCTATAAAGTACCTTCATACCCATGTTTACTGCAGCACAATTTGAAATAGTCAACATATGGAACCAGGCTAGGGGGGTCCAGCAACAGAAATGGATAAAGAAAATGTGATATAGACACACAACGGAGTAGAAGTCAACCAAAAAGGTGAACAAAATGAGTGGAACTGGACACCATCATGTTAAGCAAAATAGATTAGACTCAGAAAGCAAGTGTTGCACATTCTCCCTAAGACGTGGGACCTACATGAGAGGATGTGAAGGCAGAAGGGACACTATAGGCACCCACAGGAAAGGAACGAGGGGAAGCAGAAGGGAAGAACAGGGAGGTCAGTAGGGGATAATTATACCCAGAATATATTATGTGCACTGAAACCTAATAGCTTTTGCTGTTGTTGGATTTGAAATTGAAGTTTTATAAACTTTTTCTAGATTGGACACCCACCCCTGGAGCAACCCTGAATTACTGTACTACCAATGTTTTTCCTCAAGCAGACTGTTGAAACCTAATATTTTATAAAATTCATAGACACTAATGAAAAAGCAAAAAATCATTGAAAAGCTTTGTAATCATTTGCTATACAAAGCTGCATATGGGGCTGGGGATTTAGCTCAGCGGCAAAAGCGCCTGCCTGGCAAGCGCAAGGTCGTGAGTTCGGTTCCCGGTACCCGAGAAAAACCAAAAAAAAAAAAAAAAACAAAGCTGCATAGATAGGAGTAATTTTTAATATAAAATTAACAAATTTTTCAGCAGTTGGAATATGTATCATTAAAATAATATTACAGACTCAATCTCAAATTCAAAGATAAATATAATAACGTATTTTCATAATAGGTGCTCAAAAAAGAAAAATAAACAGCCAAATAAAAGATGGTTAAACTCCTGTCCAAACAGTAATATATTAAGCAATTATGAACACATTCGTGGATGAACTAGCAGTCATTCTCGTCCTAATTCATGGCACGCAATTATGACTTATAAGTTGTGTCTGTTTTTAAGACCATTGTGAAATATTTAAGATACACAAAGCATATAAAATTAAGACAACACTTCCACAGGCACACATTATGTTTACTAACAAAGTAGGAATGCAACTGAAGCCTCACTTTTACCTTCTAAATTCTTAAGAGGCTGGAAAAACAGATGCAGCTTGAATAATCTTGATATATGTGGGCAGAGACAATTTGGATTTCTTCAACTAGAATGCAGGTCTACATAATCACTTAGAAAAAATAAGGTAAACAAGCATATAGGAAAGAACAACTAATGTGATTTATTTAGTGTTTTAAAGAACCCTTGACATATACAAAAGTAAATATCTAAACAAATGATGAAATTCTCAGTCAGTACTGTCTGCAGTTCTTTCAAACATTTTTCCAAATGATCTAAACTTGGTTCTGTTCCTCAGTTGTCCAGTTCTATAGGAAAAGAAAATTATCAAAGTCTATGCAAACCAGGAATGAGTAGAACATGTATGGAAAATTACGTGGCAAAATAGACTCTGTCTATTGCAAAAGACACCTATAAATTTCCAGTTTACTATCAAAAGATATTACCCACTATGGCATTGAAACAAAGAGAGTTATCAACATCCTGGGTATTAGCAAAAACACATTAGAAATAGAAATCATTATTTGCTCTCTTACCCTTGGAACACCTGTACATCAGTAAGGGTGCCATGTTCAGAAAAGGTGTGAGGAAGCTACAGAGTGTTCTGACATGGATAACTAGAGTCACGGAAGATGAAGGACTAGCAGTTACAAAAGGACTCAATTGAGCATTTCTACCTGGCAGGATGGAAGCTGAAAGTAGATGTGGATGGTATAAATCTATAATCCGGACCAATTTTAAAAATAGACAAATTTTATAATTCAAAGAGCAAATATTAATCTGATCAAATGTAGGAGACAGAGTAAACTGGGAAAATAAGACAATTAAGGAATGGTTAAGAGGACTGCCCACAACTGATCCATATTCAGGTTTTAGAAAATTTAGGATTATGTGAAGTACCCCCAATAAACTTTGAGCAGTGAAGTTATAAAGTGATGCACACAAAACCTTCTTTGATACCTCTTCCAGTGACCTAACATTAGTTGGAAGGATGAAAGTTACGACTTTGCATAGCCACTCTTAGCTTATGGAAAGGAGATATTTTTGATAAACACATACCGTTTGTAGTACTCTGGTCACACGTTTGTAAAGAAGGCCCATATCTGCCCACTGGAATTCTGTTAAAAGTAAAACTCATGTAGGTACTATTTTCACAGAAATTAGCTGTAATGGAAAGAAAAAATATTTTTCATTATGAATTATATTCTTTTCAGCTTTGAAACTAGATCAAAGTTAAAGTTCAGAACCTATGTCATGTAAATTAAAGAGTTTTTAAAATCCACTATTCTTCCAGGAACTTTCACACTTTCCTACCTGGTTAAATTATTGCCGTTAGAAGTTATTATGTTAGATGACAGATTCCAGCTTAAAAGTGCTTAATATATTCCTGGAATGTGAGCCCTAATACACCAAAAAGGATTATGTATCAAACTAGTTAGAATCTTGAAAATTAAAAATTTGGAGAAATGAGATAGAGAAGAGATAGGAAGGGAAGGAAATAAAAAATAATTAAGATGTCTTATGCACATGTACCACATCCCACGATGAATGTAATCATTATGTACTACAAATATATGCTAATAAAAATATATAGCGTATAGTAGCAAAGGTCATCTTGAGAATGCGGGCCGAACCATGAAGGACGAAGTCATAAGACATGTGGGTTTTGCTAGCTGACAGAAGAGAGACAGTTATAAAAGTGGGCTTGAAGAGCTCTGAAGCATCAGGAAGTGTGAGGAGCGCTGGGAGGCACTCAGACCAAGAAATAATGTTGGACTTGGACCATGGGATGCTTTTTTGAAGTGAAACCACTAATTTAAACACTCTTCAAGGAAAATAAGAAAAGAGAAAATATTCATGTAAGTAAGTACTTAATAGGAAGATGCATTTCAACTTCAAAAGAGCTATATGATAAAATCACATTTAAGAAGTGTAGTAAGGCATACCAATCACTGAAAGAACCCGAGGAAACCGTACTGTCCTCTGCCTTGGATTAGACACCGCAGTCAGAGGGAAACAGAAATGTGATTCTTAGAGAAACTCGACAGTTGGAAAGTACACGAGGATTTTTATTATACAGGTAAATAGCCCTAGAGGAAAACTTGGCTTGAGCTAATAAATACACCTTAAAACCATAACAATTATGGCCATTATTTTTATAATTATACTTTGAAGTCTCTGAAATTTTTGCTGCTGTTCCTATTAGCACAAGCGTCACCTAACCCCCGCCCAGGAGTATCCTAAGTCACTCACCAATTGTACATCTCAGCCCTTTCCACTCTTCTGTGCAAATGCATTTGCCATTTTCCCAGGTTCCACCATTCCTGCAAAATTCTACAGGGGGGCTTGATGGGAGATCAAATGTTCCTAAAGAAACAACAGAAGTACAGAATATTATGGAAGTCAGTTAATTACTTTCTTATTTCAGGTCTGTGACTGTTTAATTTCTATAGTCACAGTAAAATCATTACTTTGAGATCATTGCTGAGAAATGTATTCTGTAACATCATCATCAAGAGATGTATACCCTGAAAATCTACACAGGATGTACAGTGCTCACTCAATGTAATGGATACTAAAAACTCACATTTGAAAGATACAACACTGGGGCTGGGGATTTAGCTCAGCAGCAAAAGCGCCTGCCTGGCAAGCGCAAGGTCGTGAGTTCGGTTCCCGGTACCGGAGAAAAACCACACACACACACAAAAAAAGAAAGATACAACACTTTGTTCAAGGGATTAGAATCCTTTAGAAAAAGAAAATTATATAGATGATGATAGATAGATATACAGATGATAAATAGACAGATACACAGACAGATAAAGGATAGCTAACAGATATGAAGACCCACTGATCAAGTCAGTGAGGAGAGCTGTAAGTACTATGAGAAAGCAAAAGAAAGATGGAGAAAGAAGTAACCTGTTCAGAGAAGGACCTTCCAGAATAGGTGACATATGGATCGAATTGTAAGATTAAGTTCAACAAAGCCAGATGAAATAAAAAGTACAAGCTCACAAAAACACAGAAAGCTGTGATGTGCCCAAAAAAAGCAGAGTGCTTACCACTCAGCATTAATTCTATATGTAACAACACAGGACATGAAGGACTTTATGAGCAAGACAAGGAGATTGAATCCTGGAGGAATGCAGTGAGGTCTTAAAGCAAAGGAATGTGCCTCCAAAGGAAGGTGATTTGGAATATTTCTCAGGCATTTGTGGAAATGACTGAGGCCAGAAGGCAAGAAAGACCAATTAGATGGAGATCAAAACTAAGGCTGTGGCTGCAGTGAAGACAGGAAGATTTGTAGATTCCAGAAATATACCTGAAATAGGATTGTTATGAGCTAATGACTAGTTATTTTGTGTTGAGGACAGTGGAGTCTCTAATTTGGTAAACAGAATGGATGACACGTTAAGTAAGCTTCATCAAACAGGAGGCAGAGTTTCACTTACAGTAGTTATGTAGTAAGTTGTATTAACTCACCCACAGATAACAATTTTAAACTCGGAACAAAACTTGGAATAAAAACAACATTCAAAACCTACTAGAAGGTTCTGGACAGCAAGAAAAATATACGGACACTGAGTGTTCCAAATTTACATAGTCTTTCTATTAAAGGTACTACCCAGTTCATAGGGAAGACATAGCTGAAACACGAGCCGAAAACCACAGCACAATAGATTGTGTGACAGGAAACTATTCCAGAACTGAAAATTGAAATGATATGTCTCAGAACAGAGAGAAAAAGAAAGGAGGATCAAAGTCTGTGCATAAATTGACTTCAAATATATAGAGAGAAGACTTTTAAAAATAATCAGACCCAGGGAACTATTGGCAATATTAAGCAGTTTAACCTATATGCACTTGGACTTCTAGAAGGTGCAAAGAGAAAAAATAAGGAAGATTGCCCCGGGATGGCAGTGCCAGCAAGAGGGGTTTAGGTCTGTGCTCCTTCAGTTCTCCGAGCCCTGGGACTGTGGTGCTGGTGAAAGGAGTGTAAGTCCATGTGTTTTCCTTCCTCCATTGTCCCCAGGATGGAGGTACAGTTGTGAGGAGTGCAAGTCCATGCTCCTTCCTTCCTCCATTGCCCTGGGGCTGTGGTGCTGGTGAGAGGGCTATAAATTTAGACTCCACCCTCCCTCCACTGCCGGGGATGCCAGTGCCTGCAGGAGGAGGCATCTGGAGGAATAGACACCTAGGAGAGCCTCGTCATCACTGGAAAGGCTAGCATTAGAAATCTACAGGCATCGGGCTGGGGATTTAGCTCAGCGGCAAAAGCGCCTGCCTGGCAAGCGCAAGGTCGTGAGTTCGGTTCCCGGTACCGGAGAAAAACCAAAAAAAAAAAACAAAAAAAAAACAAAAAAACAAAAAGAAATCTACAGGCATCAACATGAAAACAAAATAAAACAGAACATAGAAAATGGCGAGATAAAAAAGGAAAATGCAACCCCAGTTGCCCAGACCACCCAGGACAAGTCCAGAACACAAAGAGAGGAAATCAGAAGCCAACAGACGGAACTCTGAAATAAGGGCATTAAAAGTGAAAAAACAAATGGAAGAGACCATGGAATAATAATCTCTAAACTGCAAAAAGAAATGGTTATCAAAATAAAAGACTTTAAAGCAGACACAGATAAACAAACAGAAGAGCTCAAGAAAATGATGGAAACCATGAATGCCAAACACACACAAGAAATGGAATCAGTGGAACAGATTCAAACACAAATGCAGATGAGAAACTCCATGGAAAGTACACACAGCAGACTGAATGAAGGCAAGGGCTGAATATTAGATCTAGAAGACAGGAACATGACCAGTGACCAGTAAAAGAAAGATATTTTAAAAATCACAAGATACCATGAACAATCAATCCAACAGCTACAGGATGAAGCAAACTAGAACAACATAAGATTGACTGGTATCAGTACAAAACCTGGAGACTGTAAAATCTATTTAAAAACCTGGTCACAGAAATAATGGCAGAAAACGTCCAAATCTGGATAAAGAATTTGACATACAAATAAATGAAGCATATAGAACTCCAAATAGCCATGATCAAAATAAATCTACACCAAGGCATATAATAACCAAGATTCCAGAATTTCAGCACAAGAATGAAATATTAAAAGCAGCTAGACAAAAGAAACATACCACCTATAAAGGAAAGTACATCAGAAGCACAGCAGACTTCTCAAAACAAACCTTCAAATCAAGAAGAGCTTATAGTAAAGTATTTGAAGCCAAAAAAGAAAACAATCTTCAACCCAGATTGATGTACCCTGCAAAACTATCTTTCAAAATTGGTGGAGAAATAAGGTACTTCTATGACAAAGAACAACTGAAGAAATTTATGACCACCAAACTAGCTCTGCAGAATGTGCTGAAAGATATTAGAAGGAGATAACCAATACCACAAACATAGGAACATCAATAGAAAGAAGCTTCCAGACATGGTAAGCAATTAAACAGAGGAGAAAGACAGGGAACAAACAACAGGAAAATAATATAAAAAAGAAAAGCCAATACATATTATCAGTTACAACCATCAACATAAATTATCTCAACTCACCAATCAAAAGAAACATACTGGCAGAATAGGTCAAGAAGCAAGATCCAACAATATCCTGCATTAAAGAAACACATTTAACCCAACAATAAATTCATAGACTAAAAGTCAAAGGATGGAAAACAATTCTCCATGCCACAGGAACACAGAAAAAAGCAGTGGTGGCTATTCTATTTGTAGACAATGAAAATGTTAACCCAAAACTGATTAAAAGAGACAAAGAAGGTTACTACGTACTTGTTAAGGGAAAACTCCAAAAAGAAGAGATAACAATCATAAATATTTATGCACCAAACACAGGTCCACTCAATTACATAAAACAAATACTAACAGACATGAAAAAACAAAAAACCATCCACACAATTGTAGTGAGGACCTTAATAACCCACTCACACAAATGGAAAGATCAACTAGACAAAAAAATCAATAAAGAAATATTATAATTAAACCAAGCCTCTGAACCAATGGACTTCATAGATATTTACAAAGTGTTCCACCCCAAAACATCAGAATATACGTTCTTCTTAGCTGTACATAGGACATTCTCCAAAATAGATAACATATAAGCTGACAAAACATGTTTAAGTAAATGTAGAGGAACTGAAATCATCGCATGCATACTGACCATAGAACAATGAAACTAGAAATCAATGACAGCAAATCAAAACTACACTAACAAATGGAAATTAAATACTACACCTTTGAACAACCAATGGGTCACAAAGGAAACTGAAGATGAAATTATACAGTATGTACAATTAAATGATAATGCCAATAAAACATACCAAAACTCAATGGATGCAAGGAAAGCAGTCCTAACAGGGAAATATACAGTGATAACCTTTCACATCAGGAAAACAGAACAAGCTCAAATAAACAACTTAATGGTGAAGCTCAAACTTCTAGAAAAAGAAGAACAAATCAAACCCAAAGCACATATGACAGAGAAAATTATAAAGATGAGAGAAAAAATGCAAAGGAGACTAAAAAAACAATACAAAGAATCAGTGAATCAAAAAGTTGGTTCTTTGAAAAAATAAATAAAATTTATAAACTATTAGCCAACCTCATCAAAAAGAGGAAAGAAAAACTACAAATTCAAGCATTTGGGAATGAAAAGGAGGAAATCACACTGGATTCCACCGAAATCCAGGAGATCATTAATACCTACTATGAGGATGTATATTTTTAAAATGGAAAACATAGGAGAAATGGATTGATTCCTAGACACAATTGCATTGCCAAAACTAAATCAGGAAGATTTAAAATTCTAAATAACCCAACATCAGACAATGAAATTAAAAGTGTAATTAAAAATTTACCTACAAAGAAAAGCCCAGACCCTGACAGACTGACTGTTGAATTCTACAAAACATTTAGAAAAGAATTAATGTCACTAATGCTGAAACTCTTTTAAAGAAATTGAAAGGGAAGCAGTACTTACAAAGCCATTCCTGGAAGCAAGTTTTACCCTGATTCCAAAGCTGGAGAAGAACCAAACCAAAGAGGAAAACTAGAGGTCAATCTCCCTACTGAACACTGGTGCAAAAATTCTCAATAAGATACTGGCAAACAGAATGCAGCAAATCATCAAGACGATATACCATGACCAAGTAGGAGTCATCCCAGAAACACAGTGATGGTTCAACATATGCAAATCAATAAATGTAATACACCATATTAACAGAACCAAAGGCAAAAATCACATGATCATCTCAATAGATGCAGAAGAAGCATCTGACAAAGTCCAACACCCATTTGTGATAAAAACCCTACAGAAAATTGGAATAGACAATCTTTA